TTACGTATTTATCCACAAGCATAACGTGGGCTTGGAGCGTGTGTAGGTTGCCGGTTCGAAATCACTGATAAGCTGCTTCGTCTGGATTTGGGATACTGTGACTAATAATAGCAGGGCAAAAAGGACCTGTGCTAGATGGGACGGCGTGGGCATTTTCTACCAAGTTGGGGAATGCACGGGGGGCAGGTGTGGAGATAAAATCAGATGCCCGCGACTGTGATTAGTTTTTCGATGTCTCGATACCAACGTGTTAGAATGTTTCTGTATTTAGATTTAGCGGGACTTAGTTTTGATCAGGCTTAGTGGGACCCTACCTCCACACATTACACCACACTGTAAGAACAGATATAAAAGGTTCTCTGGTATTTCAACTTACCACCCTTGTGGCTGTTTCTTTTGCCGGCTACCGTAGGTATTCTAGCGGTAACGGTGGCTACTCTGGTGTAACGGTGGCCACGACGGCGGGTATGGCGGCTACGGCGGTGGATACGGAGGCTACGGCGGTGGATACGGAGGCTACGGCGGTGGACACGGAGGCTACGGCGGCGGATACGGCGGCGGCTGTGATGGTAACAGCAGCAGCTTCGGTGGTTACAGGCGCAGGTTCGGTGGTTACAACCGTGGTTATGGTGATTACAACCGCGGCTATGGCCAATAAAGATGTCCTCCAGTTGGCTACGTCAGATCGTACAACTCACGCAGCAAGGCATACGGATATGCACTACCGATGTAGCCATTACTCCAGCAGCAAGGGACACAATGAGCACGAATCCAGTCACGTTTAATCCCACGTCTGTATGGAGGCTTTTGCGTGATGTGTTTGTTTGTCCGTTAATAATCGAAGGAAATAAAGTATTCCTGGACATTTTTGCGCAACCGCACACATTTTGTGCATACCATTACCATACCAAGCGAAGACCAATAAGGTCTTCGCTTAAAACCCGGTAATCATTGTCCAAATTAGTGACTTAAGTATCCCTTCCTCTGGAAATAGCGACGACCGCACTGTTTCAACAGAGACAAAACTCCAACGACAAAAAGGCGTTTAGGATAGATAACCCTCATTGCCATATCACGCTGGAGGTATGGGATCGAGCCCGAGCCCGAGCCCGGCATGACAGTTTCTACACTGCCCAGGCTCTGCAGCCACAATCTGCAGTCCCTTGACGCTGGTGTCTCTCTGTCAGTGACCTCAACACGTCATACTGCTTTGGAAGACTGCGTGGTTTTCAATCCCGGCAAGAAGTGTACGCTATGAGGTTGCATAAAATGTTGGGCAAGCGTTCCAACGACAGGCCACGATTCAAAAATCGGTAAATGCATTCATGAAATGTAAGATATGGCCCTTATGCCGATACCTATGGCAGAAGGACGAGATTGCTCCTCTACAGGCCATCATGCTTCAACAGAAGGTGTAGGAGAACCCTGAGTAGAAAACAGAGGAAGCTATTGTTGTTGTTGTTATCGTCGGTTTAAGACGCACCCAGCTGCTGATGCTATATGATGTCGCCTGCCTCTGACCATGGCAGGGAGGGCGGGCACTGTGGGGAATCGAACCCCATACCTCTGATCACCCAGACGCGCAGTGGGTAATGTAGATGCATCAACCACTACTCTTCCGGCACCCCACAGAAGACGCTGACAATGCGTCGTCTGCCTCTCACTTAGGCCAAGTTACCACAGCTTTTCCGAACCCGCCGGCTTAGGTAAACAAAGCACAGGAGGGTAACTTTCATTCAAATACCTTTACCTGAATTCTGATCCCGTGGAGCAGAAAGGCTTCAGATGGTTAGATTGCTGACATCTTCATGAGATTCGTCCCGCTAGGGTGGTCTGTCGCAATATAGTCTAGTGTCTTGTAATTGGTTTTCATTTTCACAATCTTGTCACCAATGGCCTCGCAGGTTTTTTTGTCACCAATCATGTCAGGTAAATCACAAGCTGTTTTGCCTTTGGAGGAGCGGCTGAAGAGCCGTTGTCTAGTTAAACACACATGACGCTGTAATTTCTTGATCGTGTTCTGATTAAGCTGTCAACCTCAACGTTACGCACAGTCGTGCCTGCCTGATCCCGTCGCTAATTTGACTAAGCAAAACTTCGTCTAGATTTTCGTTTTCTGTGACACAAAGAACGGTTAACACTGATATTTGTTCCTACGTTTAAAGGTAATGTTTCATACTTGAAGATATTGAGGCGAGCATCAGATATGATGAGACAAGCTCACTTGAAACTTTTGGTATGCTTCTTCAAGGAGAACATACTTCTTCATCTTTTTCATTAGGTATGATGAGACAAGCTCACTTGAAACTATTGGTATATTTTTGAAGAGGAAAAGACTGCTCAAGACACCATAGCTTTCTTTTCAGTAAATACGCTACCCAAGACGTCATGGTTTGATTACGTCATCGTACCTTGCACAACATTGATTGCGAGTCAACTGACGGCCGTTATATCTGGAAATCATGCTCAGAAACGCCAGATATGAACGCCTCGACAACCACATTTTTGCTTGGCATTGATCGCCGGCTGGCTTATGGAATGACAAGATTTGAATGACGTTATTATGACGTCTTGAATGCGAAGGTAACTTTAAAATATACACTATACCCCGATATACCCCAATAGACACACTCCAATATACCTTTGCCCATTTTCGCGAGCGTGTAGCGAAGAATCTGGGGTGGTTTGGGTCCTCAAAAGGGCAGGATTGTGAACAACACTGAAAGGTCTTCGAGATGGCTATTTCAGTTTAAAATAAAAAATAAACAATTCCTTTAAAATTGGCAGATGAAAGAACCTAGTGAAAAGACGGTGAAACGGTGCTGATAAGAGGTTGGTACGCCACTGTTGAGAGAGTGGCACGCGGATGGCACGTGGGAGATTTACCCCTGGTAGGAGAAACTTAGCGGTGGTGCAGAAATAGCTTGTAAAACTATAGAGTGGTCCTGCGAGCTTGGCATTGGTGTGGCAACGGCAGCAGAAGTTTATCTGGAGACTCAGGAGAGACCAATCCCGTGCAGTATCTGGGTGGTAGATGTCTGGTTACATCTGGTAATATGATTGGACAAATCGACCAGCACCCTGTTACCAGCGTGCAGTGGTAATTGCTTTATTCTATTGTATTTCTTGTAGCATTGTTTGTAGTGTCTTCTTGTATCGTTTTCTTGTATTTCTCTTTTCTTATTTTAAGTTTCTTAAAATTAGTGGTAAAAATGTGGTAAAATTTCCTGGTATGTAAATGTGGAACCCGCCTTTCAAAGTGAGTGTTCCACATTTGTATGGGGTTTTGAAATGAAATCACCCTCTTGAAGGTCATTCAGTGCAGTTCACAGCTCTACCCTTCCAAGAACCTAAACTCCTCTAGTTTCTGAGCTACACGCCCGCGATGATCTGCAGCCTTCTTCGGGGAGACTATTTCAAGATAGCCTAAGCATGAATCACACCATCACGTCATTCAAATCCCGCTTTTCCATTCGTCACTGGGTGATTAAGGCCAAGAAAAATATAATTGTGGAATCTTTCATATCCGGCGTTCCGGCGAAATCAATGCACAATGCCTGACATTGGTCTCTCAATCATTGTTGTGCGAGGTAAGAAAGCGTAATGAAGCCACGGCGTATTGAGGGGCATATTTACTCAACAGATGCATTGTGCTGTCTGGAGAAGTTTGTTCCACTTAAAAGTAGACCGACAGTTGTAAATGAGCTTATTTCACCAATTCCGCTGCTGGCCTCAATAGCTTCAAACATTGTACATTCTCTTTAATGGTACTGCAACAGTTGTGCCAGCTGCTGCACTTCCAGATTTATATATTGGCATCATAGAGCGCCTCTCACGTTTTACTACTACGTACATTTCAACAATGAAACATTTCAACATTTCAATACGTGACAACGATCTTCGAAGTGAAAAAAATAACTGACAATCAGGGCTTTCTGTGAAAAATCAAGGCTTTCTGTGAGATATGGTGTCACTAACTTCCAGAGATCACCACAATGAAGCGTGGCCTCATCCCTTGGCAAAATTTTGAACTCGCCCCTATCAAATTTTCGGATCTTTCTACATTTTGCAACACATTGTATAAGCCGTTGCATTGAGACGTATAACCAGAAGTGTACAGTAATAACCTGTAGGTGGTATTGATTTCTATCAGAGTCAGAGTCTCCCGAATTTTGTTTTGGGGGAGAGAAGTGAGCCCGGATTTGATCGCCTTATGGTGCAATCAAATGCCAAATTATCTCCGTATTTGGGCCACTTCGCTTTGCCTCCTCAAAAAGTCATGTACATTTAGGTTCAAATGCCTCCGTATTTTCATTTAAGATCTGGGGGCTGTGCGATATAAAGAAGCCGCATATTGGGAGGCCGCCCCGAGATATAGCTGTTTTTTTCATGCTCCTTCAGCAAATCTGCGGGGATTTGCACGAGGATGGTGTTTTGCTTTGCCGGACCTGTCATCACGAGAGATGTTAGACACCAGAGGGGGAGCAGGGAAGGGGAGGGGCGCTATAAGCAGGTGAGCTCAGGTGCGGTATGATGGAGCCCTGAGAACCCCAGTGGAACACGATCTTATATCATTAGGCTACATACTGATCTTATCACCATCCTTTGTGTGATGTCGAGACTGCTTATCTCAACAAAAAAGCAAGGACAAGTCGACAAAAACGCACACATAATTCTTGGAATGGTTGCGGAAATTTCACCGCTTTATCCATTATTGGTTTGACATTGTATATTTTAGTGACCTCTTCTTTCTTGCGTTAGAACTTCCATGCTGCAAAGCACAGATCCTTGCTGAAAATTAGGTGAAGAGCCACATACAAATATAAATGTATCTGCAATACGAAATGCATCTATTTTTCTTCGCCAACATTTCATAAGAGATGTATTTTTGCCAGAACATTATTAGGTGAACGCTTCGATCGATCCAGACGACGCTATTCCAAACACTGTGGACGGCGGTTGCCAAGGGAACCATGAAAGAAGGCAGTGCGATACGTATCGTACCGTACGCGTCTGCTGGCGGGTAGGCGCAGGTGGTGGCGGCGTCATTGCCGCAGGGAGAAGTGACATCCGGTTTCCTCAGGTAATGACAGACAACAGCCATGTTTGCCTACGGACGTGTCTAGTTTGTTGGTAGGAAGGTGCTGCTGTGAAGCGATGGTGTTGGACAAGGCAAAGTCGCGCAGTTGACGTCTGTGTTCGGTTCCATGACCCATTTTCCTGACATGTTCTGTAATCTCTCATTTGCCTCCCCCTCAGAGCTTAGCGATAATGTTTGCCGGATAGAGCACAGAGAATTTGGAATCTTCCAGAGTTGGGTGTGGCAGGTGAAAAATAACCGGTGGAGAAAAATTAACTGCAACGACCATGCAGCCGGACACCGACGATGCCGTGACGTAATTGAGAGTTTGGCGGCCGGTCGGGTGCCACGTGGCACACAATCCAAACGAGGATGGTGTCATATTTAATAAACATCACCGTGATCTAGAGGACTGACATTTCAAAACTAATTTATGCCATTTTTCCATACATTAGATCCACCAGAACGTGGATGCATAGCTATTTGACGGTGCAGTGTGTATAGCGGTGGCTGCATGTCGACTGGTTTGGAGCGAAGCTATCAGCTTTTTCCGGATTTGGAATACCCACACCCATCCCACCACGAAATTAGAAAGCCCGCACCCGCCCCGCAAGGCAGTTGTCTCCCAAAAAGCTCGCATGGGCCCGCCAAACTTATTTTTTAATTCAAGTTCACATACGCAGCCTTCTGGTATCATTACTGCCAATACAGGAAGCCTTAAGAAACCTGTATACATATTCATTCCTTCTTTTATGACCTACTTCATGACTTACATTAAGGCACCAATTAGTTTCAGGTACGTATACTTAACATGATCGTAAGATGAGGATCACCGCTAGTCTTCAAATATAAAATAAATCATTGTTACACCCGTGTTTTATGAAATAACACTGAGTGATACCTAAATTTTATCCATTTCAGGAATGTTCTGTACAGGAAGGGAAGGAAGAAGATACGTCATTGAGCCCGGAGCCGAGGTCAAGGACCTAGTGCTAGTGATATGACAGGTGACTAGTGAAAACCAGGCCAGTGCAGTCATTGTGCAACCCAGGATGAATAATATGGGGAAGGGTGTGGTGTAGTGAGGAGGTGGTAAATTATCATAGAACCCTTTTGACCACGCTACAGCATGGCGAACGTCGGGAAATAGTAACGAGCATTTCCTCTAAGATCGGACCACCTCCTTAGTGAAGCTCAGTGGCGCTGGCGGTCAACACTAGGGAAGATAAACTTGCGAAGAGTTAGAACCAACGTTTGTAGACGGGTGGGACAGGTTTTTTGATTGTAGAAACCTGTATCAGGGGAATGGGCTCCATTTCTCTAAAAAGGCTGTTGAACCTTTACGAACGTATCCTGCACGGAAATTAGCTTCTGGGAATGGGAGGATTAATATGGGACACCTAGGTAATGAAAATTCAAAATTGCTGAGCAGTGCGCAACACAGTATCAAACTTGGGTGTTTCCATGCAAATACAAGAAGCATTAGAAACAAGTGTGGCGGGCTCCATGCTCACATGCTTAAAGAGAAATTAGACCAGGTAGTTATTGCTAAATGTCGGATCAGTCACCAGCTTTTTGGGGAAAGTTTACATGAATTTCAAGTATCTGGTTATAATGTGTTCGCTTTTCATAGAAAAGCGAAACGAGAGATGGGATATCAGTATATGCAAGGCAGAATATAAAAGGGCAATCGTAGACAACACGAATAATAGCAATAGTGTACAATTCCTCTGGATAGATTTGGTTGTGTTGAAGGGTGACAAAGTACGCATTGAAATTTTCTATACGCCTCCGAACAGTTAGCAGGATCTGGACACAGGAATATGTGAAGATATAGGCTGGTGTGTGAATGGAAATTGTGCACTGCTTTGAGATTTCACTATCTCAGGCCCGAGTGTTAATTTTGTCCACCTGTCGAATAGCCACAAAAATAGTTTTTCCTTTTCAAGAAAATCTTCTTTACCAGGAAGTGTGCAAGCACACTAGGGGAAATGAGGTATTGGACCTTGTTATGACTAATGAAGGGGGGTTGGTAGATGCTTTGAAATTAGTTACTGGTAAAAAGTGACCATAATATTGTAAGCTTTTCATTGTATCTACGTCATTCAGGTAAGGCTAATGACACACTTATCCAAGCTTTGCTAGGGGTAGATTTGAAGAGATTACAGCCTTTCTTGCTAGCATCCAGTGGGAAGATATTTTAATTGGTCTTACTGCACATAACATGCAGGAAGTATTCGAGGATAACTTAGGACAGAAAAGATGCATTCCCTATAAGAAAATACACGAAAATAGTTCTACGAAGCCTCCATCGCTAATACAGCCAGTGCACAATTTGATGGCGGTAAAGAAGGCATATGTTAGCCAAATGTGCATGACACAGAATAGAACAGGATGGTGCATAAAATTACAACAAAAAAGCTAAAGCAGGTCAGGACAGCCAAAACGTTATCAGGGATGCAGCTAGCAGATACTTGCTGTGGTGACGTTAATTTTCATTTTTTAGCTACTACGAATTCAAGTCTAGTGGATCCTCTTCGGCCCCCTTGAGGAATATGGAAAATATTGAGTGGAGTACAGGGACTTTGTAGGTGCTCTTAGTAGGCGGCTTTCCTCAGTCTTTACAAAGGAAACCATGTGTGATCTCCCAGAAAAAGGCAAAATCTGACTAAAGCCAGCCTTCTTGACTTGGTAGTGACTTAGGTTATATGGCAAGGGATAGCTTGAAGGAAATGAAGGCTAACAAGGTAGCCAGACCTGACCCCATATAAATAATATTGTTGAATAAATGCACTGATACTAAGGCTTATCCCCTCACGTAGTATTTTACACACGCCCGTGTGGCCGGTTGGATACCCTTCGCTCGGGTGGGGGTCAATTTGCCCCCCATCTGAGATCTCAGGAACTAAGAGAGGCAGAGGCACGAAATTTACAGGGTGAGTTGACCTGTACGTGAACTCACTTCCGTCAAAGTTTGAGGCTTCTAGGTCGTGCTCTTCGGGTCAAATAAGGTCAAACAAGGTCAAATTACACGTTGGTCTCCGACAAGCCCCTTGAACCCGATAACTGTTCTAAGCAAAATTTAACATACTCGGCTAATGTCGATAATCTTGCTTGACCTTTTGAAGGTCATGGTGACCAAAATTGTACAAGGCCGCTTTAAGTTTGCATTTGGGTACACGAAAAAAATCATGCTAAGCATCATGTTTCTAAAAATAAAATGTTGACCCGGGTCAGTCTAGGTCAGTGACCTATTCTAACCTTAAGAAGTCTATGGAAGGTGTATAATGCGGTTCCTGTTGTCGATAAATTCGAAATGAGAACCAGGAACTACCCCACACAGCAAGCGCTAGAGAAATAAAACAGGTCGTTTTTGACCTTGGCCTGACCTTTATACCTGACCTTAAATCAATGTAATTAATGCATTGAACTGTTGTGTTGCCTGAGAAAGCATCTCAAAGATGTATCGCTTCGTCTAACACTCCGTTCTTGAATCAGATCGAACAATCCCCTAGAAATTACCTTCCCTGAAACCATGGCCCGAATTTGACCTGCCATAGGTCAGCGACCTTACAAGGTATATATTAATTTTTGATGCCAGACGGTCTGCTATTTAATTGTCTACAGTATACAAAGTTTGGACGCGGCTACGCCGCGTCATTTGGAAACCATTTCGGAAAAACCTTCTGGGCGGGTCAAGTTGGCCCCGCCCAAGCGCGTGTCAACAAATCATTGAGTTGCGTTGGTGCTTAGGTTTTTCCTCTTCTAACAAGTACCTAAAGATCACTGACTTTTTCGAAAGAATCCGAGGGCTGGCACAATGCCAATGTAGTACCAGATTTTTGTAAAGAATCGGACCAAAAAAATGCCAGTAACTATAGATCTGTCAGTCTTTCCACACGAGTATATAAAACTTTGAAAAAATCATTTAGGCTAGCATTCAGTCATACTTAGACGGCCATCAGTTGATAAATAGAAGACGGCGTGGTTTTCTTTCTGTTAGGCTCTATTTGACAAGTCTCCTAGAGGTCATGAACCACGTTACTTGTCAGATAAAGACAAAAGTTGCGATGTAAGCTAACTAGATTTAAGCAAGGTATTTGATAAAGTGCCGCACCAACGTCTGCTATATCAGGCCAAATTACATGGCATTGAGGGAACAACTATTTGCTGGGTAAAGACTTGACTGCTAGACAGGAAACTCAGTGGCACAAGATCTTAATGGGAACTATCAGATAGCGGGGTTCTACAGGCATGGGTGTTGGGCCTTTTGCTCTCTGTTATTTTGCTGAATAATATTGAAAAAATTTACGGAGTAAGGTGCTAAAATTTGTTAACGATATTACATTGGCAGGGGTGCCGGATAATACCAATCAGGTGAAGCAAATTCAACTCGATTTAAATGAAGTGGTGAAGTGGGCTTATCTGCGGCAGATGTCATTCAGTTCCGCTAAGTATAAGGTGATACATTTTGGGTAGTTTTGGCAGCAGAGGCACTAGCTGGCATTAGCATGGGAGGCTGAGAGTTAAACAAGACCGAGGAAAAAAGGGCTTAGGGGTTATGATTTCTAGGGATTTGGTGGGTGAAGAACAATGTGCGGCTGCTAGGAACAAGACACTTCGGATGCTGAGACTTATAACAAGAATGTCCATTACAAGAATTGGAATGCTGTCAGAACCTGTACTTAGCTTGTCAGACCACACTTAAAGCATTGTGTACAGACCTGGTCCTCATGCTTCCAAAAATATGTAGATAGACTGGAAAGAGTACAGCGAAAAGCAATGAGAAACTTAGAACATAAGGATAGGCTCAAGGCCTTGGATTTCTATGCAATGAAATATCGTGGGCTTAGAGGGGATCTAGTAGAGGTATTCAAGATCATGAAAGGGCAAGACGAGAGAAATCGACATGGAGCGGTGGAAATTAGACAGACATATGTCTTAAGTAAATTTTGGCAACTCAAGGCCCAAAAATTGTTGGTACTTAAAAGAAACCAAGTTGCTAAATTCACAAAGGAGCACCAACATATACAAAAGAAAATGGATAGCGTCACATCCAATGGCATTTCATTGGAAAAACATCCAAATATCGTTCATGACCACCAGGAACCACAACACCATTTCCAGTTTCATAGCCAGCAATGGGTACCTGGATCTTGGCCAATTTTGCTGACCTGCATCCAGTATCGACGATTAGAGTTGAACCTAAACCTGTTATTTTAATGCTGGAACTATACTCCGAATGCTTTCAATGCTGGTGTAAGCCTAATTCCTTATGTCAACTTGCTCCGGCATCGTCACGCCACGTGGGAAGTAACAGAAAGCATTTGGTGAAAAAGTGCGCCGTAAATGACCCCGATCCAATGCCTTGCTCCTGGACAGCTGATGATCCATTCAAATGTGACCAGCAATTAATGCGAGATCACCTGTGTTGGAAGCCCGTACGCCACGTAAAAGCCATCTGATGCATCCGAGCTCCTTGAGTTGTTGATGACCAGCCTTGCACTCCGATGTCGTCCTGCGATGAGTTTATTTTGAAGCTATGCTATGCTCGTTGGGACGGATTGGTAATCGGTGTTTTTCTGCGGTTTTCTTCGCGCATAAATACAAAATCAGTGGATAAATATAGCCGAAAGCGCTGCTATAAACGGTTACATCATTTGTGGTAAGGTCTGAGCGGCAGATAATTCAGTTAGTTTACTGTTACGATTTTTGCAGGCATGCACTGGACTTTCAATACAGACCACGCTTTCAATTTAATGCAGGCAATTGTTGATATTTGCTGCTGAACGTATACTGAACGCAGTTCAAAAGGGTGTCCCACGTCCCTAGCACCGGTTTGCTCTGTACTACTATTTTGTCTCGAAATCCTTAAGACAAGCTCAGAAATTTGATTTCAGGTAGCCGCTTCGGCAGGGAAATCTCGTTGAGGCCCTCCCTACCAGCATAAAATCAATAATTTATATTTCTCTGGCCCGAAAAAAATTCGGTTGAAGCAGCACATTAA